AGAGAGGAAAGGAGGGAGGGAAGGAGGGAGGGAGGGAAGAAAGAATATGTGGATAGAGATAGAGATGTGCCAGATTGGCTGGTGGGACCAAAGAATAGTGGAGAAAAAAAAATGGATTTGCAGGAACCTATGGAATATAGAGGGAGGTTGATCTTTATGGGCCCAGAGCCAGAGAGGGAGGTTGTTGAGTTAAAAAAATAAAAATAAAAATTTCTCCACAGATATTTCAATGTGAATTGGTTGCCAGTGGAGAACCATTTGTATGTGCTGTAGCATGGGGAGCACAGAAAAAAAGATGAGCAACTCATAAAGGAAGTCGCCACCCTCCCAGCAGTCACCTATAATGGGCTTCAGAGAGCCTGGCCAGTGTGACTGAAATAGGTACAAAGAGATTCATTTGATCCTTGAGGATCCTTTGTATGAAGACCAAGGAGAAAGAGCTTTCTTTGTGGCTGGCATCCCATTAGAGATATTGGGAAGATGTCAACAACAGCTGAACAGGATCTTCTGCACTCCAGGGCTGATACTGGGTAATTCAAATATGAAACTGTGGAGGGTTATATCCTATACCTTAAAGTTGAATTGATCAAAAGCACCTGAGACCCAGAAGCCCAGCACAGATGAGTATCTTCACAGAAACTGGGGGTATGAATCAAATATCAAATTCCCACCAATAGAGGTCTAATGGCTAGTCAGGATTAAATTCCAAACGGAATTTGTTGAGAGCTTGGAACTTTAATTTAGAACTTGAAACTCCACTAGAGGAGCAGACAATTTGCTCCTAGCCACAACCACTGGCAACTATGTCAGAAACACAAAGATGTTAAACTTTAAAACCTCTGGCCATTGACCTAAGGGTAATAGAGCCAAAAATATACGCAAAAATTAAGAATTCACCCTTGCCAACAATTTAGACCACCTCAGTGGAAACAAGCTATTTACCTCAAGTTAAGATTTTTCATCTTTATATTCTTTATTCCTCTCATTTTTTACTTTTTACCTTTAATTTTTCAATTTTTTTCAAATTTAATTTCATCATATCTTATTATTTTTAATTTTGCAAGATTGTGTTTGGGGGGGGTGCTCTCACTGCATGGACAGGTCTGAAAAGATACATACTTTTTTCACATGATTTATCTTTAATTTTACTTGTTTCTTTCTTCACCTATTTATTATCTAAACTTGGTTTGAATTAGGTGGGGTAAAGTATATATTTGTTTGAGTTGTGTTAATCTTAATTTGCTTCTATCTTGGTTTCTGTTTTTTACTGCTTTTACTTCACTCTCTTTTCTCACAGCCTACTTTTCCTATTGACTATTTTTCTTTCTAATTTTTATTAGTTTTAGTTAATTTTTACTTCTCCTTTATTGTGATGTTCTGATATCTAACTTTGGCCTCTCCTCTGTCCACTTTTTAAATATTTCAAATTTTTTCTTGCCTTACTACCCCATTTTCCCCTTCATTTAAGAAATTATAATCTCACTATTTATAGAATCTTATGATTTATGTAATTTCTATCCCATTCATGTTATGATTATTAATTATTAGTGGTTGATGTATTAGACATCTGCTGTTTAATGCCTGATTGAGTTCATGGATATTTTAGTTGGTGCTGATGTCAAATAGTGACCCAAACTTTACTATATAGGTGGCAATTGGTGTTATAGATGCTAAAGCAAGTACTGGATATTTATCTTAAGGCTGTACATCTGTTGCTAACATTAGCACTACTCCTGGCTAAAATTGACTGAAAAGTGATTGGGGGCTTCAAGTTCGCCAAGTAAGATGCTGAAGCAGAGCAATAGCCACAATTTTGTCAAATAAAAGCAAATACCACCCAAAATAATGATCTAGCCCCACCCAAGTCCCAACAATATCTCAACATACGGACTAGGGAAGATAAAACCCCAAACAACCAAGGACTCAAGGAAGAGCAACCAGAGGAGATCCTGAGGTCACACCTCTGGACACCTATTTCTACATCAGAAACAGAGAGAAGTCCTACAACAGAAAGATAACTATATAAGTGAGTGTATGTATATATAAATATAAATATATATATATATATCCTTTATGTATATATATTTTTTATTTTATTTTTTGTATTTGTGTGTGTAAGAAGGGGAATCCATTTCAAATGATGTGCAAGTGCAACTTCTGAAAACATGAGGAAACAGGCAAACAAATCTCCCCCCAAATTCCCAATATCCCAATAAAGGATCACATGGATATTGAAGGGGATGAAATTACAGAAAAAAATACCATAAAAA